AGATAAAGATCTCCGTCTAGAAGAGGATCTTTGTTGTCTAGCTTGAACAGTTGCTATTGTCGTCTGCAGTGACGCTAGTTGACTCGTTAGTTCTGTTAACTGCCTTTGGAAAGAGGCTAAGCAACTAGTATCCGCTGCTCTAGGTGGTTGCACGGAGTTTACGTGGGGACTATCATGGTAAACTTCCATCATTTTGTCTGCCATGTCGGCTAAATCATCTAGGGCGACCGATTTCCTCGAGACACTCAGGATTTGTCTGACGTTATGTGGTAGTCGTTGAAACCACATTTGTTTTAGAAGGGCTTCATCCAGTTGGTATGGGCCCGCAAGTTGCTTCATGTGTCGAAGAAGTTGGGAGGGTCTCTTGTCTCCCAGGTCGCAAGACGTTAACAATCGTTGAAGTCTTTTTTCATCTGAGGCTGAAGTGCGTTGAATTACCGCTGCTTTTATCTTATCGTATGGTTCCGACTCAGGCACGTGGTCAATTAAGTCCCCAACCTCAGCAGCAATCTCAATTAGGAGTGCACCTACAACATGCGCGTACTTTGTTGCTTGTGAGCTCATGCCTCTGGCCATGAAAAAAGCTTCAATTTGTGCAAACTAGACTCTTGGGTTATTAGCTCCATAAGTTTGGAGTCTGAATTCTGAGATAGTATTAACTGAACTAAAATTATTTTCAGTAGAGTTCGACAATGAGACAAAAGTTGTTACTGGAGGCGAATCCATATCAATGAGTTTAGTGGGAGAGGACATTACGAGAAAAATAAACCATTAAATTGTGTGAAATGATAAACAATATAACAGTTAGGATAAACACGAGGCTCGCCAAATAATTGTGGTGGACCAGACGATATATAAACGCAAAAAGTATCAACAAAATTAATAAAAATCAATAGTAATGTTAATATATATAAGTTAGTTATTACAAATATAATAGAAAGTTGGGACTTTACTTAAGTTCACCAAATTGATGCGTGTTCGACTTTGGTCTGGTACTAAGAAACCACAATTATAAATGATTGGTAATTCCAATCTGGTTGAAGAACTCTCCAGTAGTGTAATCCAATGCAAGGTATGGTATATTCCCACTCACAGTCTATAAATGTAGGTAATATTTGATTTAGGTTCTAGTTAGCTCAATCACAAACGAAAATAGAACGAGGGATATGTGTGTAGCAATGTATTTGTTAGCAAGCAACAATATGTCACGCTATGTAGTTACACAACATGAAGTGTCTTCAAGGTCACTCACTAAAACAACAGGTACAGTCATTTAATGATAAATATACATACAGTGAAAGGTTGACAAGATAAATACAAATAATATTAAAAACTATTTACAAAATAAACTTGTCAGTCTTATCTCCACGTTATCATTTATGATGAGATGTCGGTTGATTAGATGATTATCAAAGCAAAATTCAAGAATGTTACAATTTTTATTTCAAGAAGTTGTATGTAATTAACCATTTCAACGTAGAACATTTTCGAAGAATGTTAATATTGGTTACATCTAAATTGTCAATTTGTGTTATGCATTAACAATTCAGATGAGTGGAAAACGGAACTAATTGATTTAATCATTGATACAATAAATGATGAAAAATACATATTTTATGTATCTTATTTAATGGTTTACAGGGAAAAAAAACGAAAAAAATTGGTATTTTGTACTTTAATCTTCCTATTGATGTTTAGGACTGCAATTTATCAGTCTCTTATTGGCATATGTGCATACTGTGCGTATTGCCTCGATATTGCCTTAATTCACAAGCATTATAAGAAAAGATGAATAGTGGATATCAGGACTCAGTAGCTCAGTGGACAATGCGATGGCGTTAGAGGTGAACGGTACTAGATTCGAGTCCCAGAGTCAACATCAACTTTGAGATGCACGTTCATCCATCTGACGAGTTCTAAATAGATCGAGACGCGCGTCCTGGATTCCACTGCTAGCCACTATCTATCTTTGGTTAAGAAGCGAAACAGTTTAGAACAATGATCGAAATAATAAAAAAATTTTCACATGGTTTACAATAAGTTTAATAATAAAAAAGACCTACTTTAGTATGTTACCAAGAGAATTTCGAAAACAGCAAACCAATCAGTCATCAGATTTAAAGCTATTCAACCTGAATATCAGTTGACAGTTCATTCATGTTTTCTGGTAAATGAAATTAATTTATTTAATTGCAATCAGTGAATATATAAGAAAACAAATATTTATTTGAACAATAGTCGACAATCTATAAGAATGATTTACACATTAAGAAGACTATATTTTCTTAAGATTAAAATGAAAGTATAAAAGTTGATTAATTTAGGCAGTAGAATAATTAAATTTCCAAATAACATGAACCATATGAATCAACCAATAGGATTTTCTAATAGTTATATGAACTTTTGTATTATCATCTTTATAACTGCTCATTGATCCATTTACTCTATGAAATTATGTTCTGTTCATTCAGAAACAGTATCAAGGTTTACACATAATGGATAAAGTATATATTATTTTAACTTCTTACAAAATTATTGATGATATAATAAGTGTAAGCCAATGAATTCGTGATCTGAACAGATCTTCAAACAAAATATAACGAAATGATTTGTCTTGAATTTTCATTGGTCAACTAAAACATGGTACCGTAGTGAACAAGAACACGGGTGGGGAAAATCGAATGTACGTAATACAAAATTACAGGACTTGTTAATAAAATCTAACAATCATAAAGTAAATGCTTAATTCGCAAAATGTCCATCGATTGTCTCAAAATGACTCAGACTTCATTGTTGTTGCATTTTCATACAAATTGCATTTTGTTTCCATTCTTTACTGTTCGATCCTCTTGTCTCTCTGCTTCCAGATCTTCTGTTTATGACTAACATCATATACTACTTATGCCAATATAAGTAGCACACACCACAGTATAATAAATGATGAACTACTATATTGAATTGGACATTTTTTAAATTATCTGATGATAGATTATAAATGCGGGAATGAATACTGTCCAGAAAACAGGCGAATGTGTTCATTCCGGGATGGTGACAAGACCTCAGAATGTGCAGAGAAAATTTGCAAGAGATATTCAAGCTCATAGATGTACCCTCAATGATTTGCCATTTATTGAATTTAAAACCTTAATCCAATAATGGCATTGTTTTTCGTGTTCGCCTGTTTCTGATATATGTAATTTGTTTTCATTATGGTCAACTTATTTGACAGTTCCATGTAATAATGGCAAGTGCATTATTATTATGGGAACTGGAGTGTTTTCGAAGTACGTGATGTGGATTCTATCAAGGGAACTGGTGGAAACCGATTGTATCATTAAACAAAGTAAAAAAGTTACGTCAAGAATGTTTTCATTTCAGTGGAAATTATTAGATCAATAACAAAAGTGCCGAACGTTTACCAAAAAACTAAGTAGTTGAGTGAAGTTGCGTAGTATTCAATAGACAACAGAACGATAATTACATTGTAGTAGAATGGATGCGAAACATGATTGTGAACTCAAAAACGAACACGTGTCAAAAACAACTTACAAAATAACGAGGGATTGTTATTACTATAGTAAAGTAAAAGATTGGATTTACCGTTTCCGAACACAAAGACGAAGCGTAAAATGATGAATTGTCGAAGACTCCTTTATGAACCAATTCTTTATTCAACATCAGTGAAAACTAGTTTACCTTACTGTGTAAATAATTTCAACTGAAGATTCATGTGGGCAGAATTGACCGAATTTCCAACAAGAGAACTTCAGACTAATTTGCATTCACAAACTATGCAGATTATAATATTAATATAAGTTTTACACAACACCCTTCAAACAATGGAAACACGAAACTTTGGCTGCCCATTTTTAGCTTTTTCCATTGCTGATATGATCAAACAAAAGAATTCATTTTATGCATCATATGAATTTGGTTTTTTATGCAACACATAGGTGGAACTCTGAAACGTCATAACAGGGCCTCAAAGAAATTAAATTATTGTAATTGCGCAGTCTGACTCAATCTAACATTTTGTGTCAACAGAAAAGTCTAGTGGACATTTCTACATAACATCTCAGTCTGATTTTTGTAATTATATTATAACGGACATTAAGATTATTGACAAATTATTTGATTTGTTTAATATGACTGTTGAATATAAATTACTTGTTAGTGGCCTACATGATTTTCCAATTTAGTAATAAATCTGATTCAATTTCTGAGGATGTTAGTGAATACGGTAATGCATTATAGTAGGTATGATGATAATGATTTGTAACTTTATTGTTCTCATTTCATTTTGTATTCATTTTCGAGATCAGTGTTTAAAAACGTTCAGAATGTGCATTTTGATTTGCACATCACATTAACATGTACAGGCATTACTACCACTTGAAAATCGTCACCATAAATCTAATCTCACTTGACTAGTTATTAGTGAGTGAAAATTCACATTATACACAATAACACACTAGATTGGTTTCTGCACAAGTTTTTGAAACATACACATATATAAAATGTAAAAAAAATTGTTTGATCTATCTTAGTGAATATCGTCATCCTAAATAATGGTCACGGCAACACTATGCAATAAATGTGTTTAATCATAGAATTATGAATAATCAGATGGATAGATGCAGTCAAAACTGTTTTTTTCTATTTTTTGTGTTATTTTGATGTGATATGGCAAAACAAAGTTGTGCACCTTAGTTATCATTCTCAAGCCTTTATATATTTTACATATTTAATGTAAGTATATTAGTTTAAATGACGGTTTCCCGTGTAGTAAAGATAAAATACCAAGTGCACTGCCGTGCAATATCTGGATAAATTTATTATCTATGTGAAACTATATCATGATCTTCATACGAAAATGACTGATTGAACATAAAAGTATTTTCAAGGCAAAAGATTTAGAAATTGTGATGCTTATAATCAGTGATTATTATATTGGTCTCGTCAGAAAATTCGACAAAACAATCTCTTAGTCTAAATAAAGTATGATTATTAATGAAGAATCTTTCAATCATTCCCCGAAACCAAATTATTTTACAAAAGTAAATCAAACAACAGTAGTTTACATATTCAACTGATTTTCGCCAAGCCTTCATGTCATTCATCTCGTTCACACAAACTTGTGTAGACTGGAGTGCCACGGCAGCTTACTTACGGCCTGTTACTCCTCGTGAAGGAGCATAGGCCGCTCACCAGCATTCTCCATCCAACCCTGTCTTGGGCAATCCGTTCAAGCTCTTTCTGGTCGTTATTCATCTTTTTCATGTCTGCTTCTATTTCCCGACGTAATGTGTTCTTTGGCCTTCCTCTTTTCCACTTCCCTTCAGGATTCCAAGTTGGGAATTGCCTCGTGATGCAGTTTGATGCTTTGCGTAATGTATGTCCTATCCATTTCCATCGTCTTTTCCTAATTTCCTCTTCAGCTGGAAGTTGGTTTGTTCTCTCCCACAAAAGGCTATTGCTGATGGTATCCGGCCAGTGGATGTTGAGTATCTTGCGTAGACAGCTATTTATAAATACTTGTACCTTCTTGATGGTGGTTGTTGTAGTTCTCCAAGTTTCAGCTCCATACAGTAGAACTGCCTTGACGTTCGTATTGAAGATTCTCACTTTGATATTGGTTGAAAGTTGTTTTGAGTTCCATATGTTCTTCAATTGTAGGAATGCGACCCTTGCTTTGCCGATCCTCGCCTTTACGTCTGCATCTGAACCTCCTTGTTCATCGATGATGCTTCCCAGGTATGTGAAGGACTCTACATCTTCCAGAGTTTCGCCATCAAGAGTGATTGGATTGCTGTTCTCCGCTTTGAATTTGAGGACCTTGGTTTTCCCTTTGTGTATGCTGAGGCCTACTGATGCAGAGACTGCTGCTACACTGGCTGTCTTCATCTGCATCTGTTCGTGTGTACGTGATAGGAGGGCTAGGTCATCTGCGAAGTCCAAATCGTCTAATTGATTCTGAGCTGTCCATTGTATTCCGTGTTTTCCTTCAGATGTCGAGGTCTTCATAATCCAGTCGACCACCAGAAGAAAGAGGAAGGGAGAGAGTAAACAGCCTTGTCTGACTCCAGTCCTTACTTGGAATGCATCTGTCAGCTGTCCTCCATGCACTACTTTGCACTGTAGTCCGTCGTATGAGTTCCGGATAATGTTGACAATCTTCTCAGGAACTCCGTAGTGTCGAAGAAGTTTCCATAATGTCCTCCTATCTACACTGTCGAATGCCTTTTCATAATCAATGAAGTTGATGTATAGTGATGAGTTCCACTCAACTGATTGTTCGACGATGATCCGTAGTGTTGCAATTTGGTCTGTGCACGACCGATCCTTACGGAATCCAGCTTGTTGATCTCGAAGTTGGGCGTCTACTGCATCCTTCATCCGGTTCAGCAACACTCTGTTGAAGACTTTCCCTGGTATTGACAGTAGTGTAATGCCTCTGTAGTTTTCACATTTGCTCAGATCTCCTTTCTTTGGAATCTTGACGAGGTGTCCTTCTTTCCAGTCCATCGGCACTTGTTCCTCCTCCCAAATCTTTTTGAATAGAAGGTAAGCATGCTTGTGGTTGCTTCGATGTCTGATTTCAGTGCTTCAGCTGGTATGTTGTCGGGTCCTGCTGCTTTCCCGTTCTTGATTTGTCTGACGGCCATTCTAATTTCTTCCGTCGTTGGTGGGTTGACATCTATAGGAAGATCTATGTGTGCTGCTTCGATGTCCGGTGGATTCATTGGAGCCGGCCTATTCAGGAGTTCCTCGAAGTATTCTACCCATCTGTTACGCTGTTGTTGAATTTCGGTGATTGGCTTGCCTTCTTTGTCTTTGACCGGCCTCTCTGGTTTACTGTATTTCCCTGCTAGTTTCTTCGTTGTATCGTGAAGCTGTTTCATATTTCCTTCTCTAGCAGCTTTTTCTGCCGTCGTTGCTAGTTCTTCCACGTATTTCTTCTTGTCGGCTCTAATGCTTCTTCACTTGTTTGTTTGCTTCTATGTATTCAGCTTGTGCTTGGACTTTCTCTGCTCGTGTTCGGCTGTTGTTAATTGCTGCCTTCTTGTTCTTCCTTTCTTTGATCTTGTCCAGTGTTTCTATAGAGATCCATTCCTTATGATGGTGTTTCTTTAGGCCCAGAACCTCTTGACACGTTGAAGTTAATGCTTCCTTGATGCCTTTCCAGTTGTCCTCCATACTAGTTTCTTCTTCTTTCAGTAGATCTTGTAAGGCTTGGAACCTGTTGTTGAGAGCTATCTTGAATTCATTGAGTTTGTCAGTATCTCGAAGGAAGGCTGTATTGAACCTTTGTAGTGCTGTTTGTCCACTTGTCCAGTTCTTTTTCAGCTTCAGTTTTAAATTGGCTACAACTAGGTGGTGATCTGAAGCTACGTCAGCACCTCTCCTGGTTCTCACATCTTCCATTGTCCTTCGGAATTTTTTGTTGATGCAAATATGATCTATTTGGTTCTCTGTAGTGTGGTCCGGTGAGATCCATGTAGCCTTGTGTATACGTTTGTGTGGAAATATTGTGCCTCCTATGACCAATTTGTTGAATGACACAGATTTGCAAATCTTTCTCCATTTTCGTTCCTCTCTCCCAGTCCATGTCGTCCCAGATATCTTCATATCCGGTGTTGTCTATTCCGACTTTGGCATTTAGATCTCCCATCAGAATGGTGAGGTCCTTTCTTGGACATTTCTCTATGATTGACTGCAGCCGCTCGTAGAACTGATCTTTAATGTCGTCGTTGCTATCATTGGTGGGTGCATAACATTGGATAATATTCATTGAGATCCCCTTCTTTGTTTTGAATGATGCTTTGATGATTCTGGATCCGTGAGATTCCCATCCTACAAGTGCATTTCGTGCTACTTTGGACAGCATTAGAGCAACTCCCTGAGTGTGTGGAGCATCTTCCTCTTCGCGGCCGGAGTATAGCAGCATCTCTCCCATATTTAGCCCTTGTTGTCCAGCTGGGATCCAATGGGTTTCTCTGATTCCTAGTACTGCCAAATTGTATCTCCTCATTTCCATTGCTATTTGTCTGATCTTCCCGGTCTCCCACATTGTCCGGACGTTCCATGTACCTATAAAAATTGTTGCTTTGGTTGTTAGAAGGGGAATCGGCCTCGTGGCTTCCGAAGGAACTCGGCTCTCACCATGGGGCGTCATAACTCTTCTAAATGAAGACCTTCTAACTCCCAGGGCAGAGTTTCAATGGTTTGAATTATTTTTTCAGGTTAGCGCTTTTTAGCAAGTTAGTTTTCTACGGGATGGGGACGCTAACCCCATGCCCAACCCTTCTCCTTTACCCAGGCTTGGGACCGGCAGTAACTCTAGAATAGCTACAGGCGGAGTTGCCACGGCGGCGCTAAGGAAAAAATTCAGGATCACCAAGTCTGAGATCGAATGCTTAACGTGAAAACCATTCAGCCATAAAACTTCAATATTTTCGCTAAACATCACGATGATCGACCAAATAAATTAACATTAACTTTATTCGTCATAAAATGCCTTAACCTACCAGTCATAATTGATTTCCTTAAAATATTTTAGCTAAAGTACAATCACTAGAGGTCTATTTGAATATGCTTTCGCAAGAGTCATACAATTACTGGCCGCAAGTTAAGCTGTTTGTCTGGAATTTTTATGATTAATACAAGAATTTCAATGTATTTTCTACTTTCAAATACGTTAGGATAACTGTAAGGCTTCGGACTCCATAGTACCAATGATGATGTAGTCATAAATCAGAAATTATAACATTCGAATAAAGTAGGGAATATACTTAAATGGATATGTCAGATACTATAGCAATAACGATCCCCTTCAAGATTACAAGTTATGTAATCATTCGTGATGTAGTTTGGTGATTTCTGCAGTGTATGTCCTATCCACCCCCATAATCTTTTCTTAATTTCCTCTCAAACTGGAATTTGGTTTGTTGTCTTCCAAGGTAGGTTGTTGCTTATGGTATCCGACTAACAGACATTGAGCATCTTGTGTAGACAATTCTTTATAAATACATGTACCTTTTTGATGATGGTTGTAGTGTAGTAATTCTCCAAGTTTCAGCTCCGTACGGTAGAACTGTCGTTATGTTCTTACTGAAGATTCTGACTTTGAAATTGGTTGATAGTTGTTTTGAGTTGCATGTGTTCTTCAAGTGTAGAAATTTTGTCCTTGCTTTGCCAATCCTCACCTTTACATCTGCATCAAATCCTCCTTGTTTATAGATGATGCTACTGAGGTACATGAAATTTTTCATCAGATCCAGAGTTTCTCCGTCAGGTGTGATTGTGTTGGTGTCATTTCAGGATCGTGCTTCTTCGCTTGTGCATGTTGAGACCTACTGATGCACAGGCTGCTGCTCCACCTGTTGTCTTGAGCTGCATATGTTCATGTGCGTGGTATAGAAGGGCCAGGCCATCTGCAAAGTCCAAATCGCCTAGCTGCATCCAACCTGTCCATTATATTCCGTGCTTCCACTCAAATGTCGAGGTGTTCATAATCCAGTCAACCAGAGAAGAAAGAGAAAGAGTGAGAGCGAGCAGGCTTGCATGACTACGGACCTCACTTTTAACACATCTGTGATCTGTTCTCCGTGCCCATTTTGCAGTGTAGCCTATCGCATGAATTCCGTATTATGTTGATGATCTTCTCAGGTACACCATAGTGTCGAAAAAGGTTCCATAATGTTCTCCCGTTCACGTGGTCAAACGCTTTCTTATAGTCGAGGAAGTTGATGTACGGTGACAAATTCCATTCAATCGATTGCTCAACAATGACCTGTAGTCTCGTGGTTCGGTCTATACACGGTTGATCCTTATGGAATTCAGCCTGTTGATCTCGAAATTGGGCGTCTACTGAATCTTCCATCTGGTTCAGCAACACTCTGCTGAAAACTTTTTCTGGTAGTGTGATGCCTCTGTAGTTCTCACATTTGCTGAGATCTCGTTTCTTTGGTATCTTGATGTGATGTCCCTCTTTCCAGTCTGTCGATGGCGCTTGTTCATCCTCCTAAATCTTCTTAAACAGATCGTGGAGCGTGCTTGCATCTGCTTCTATGTCTGACATCAGTGCTTCAGCTGGTTAATTGTTAAATCCTACTGTCTTCTCACTTTTGATTTGTCTGATGGCTGTCCTGATTTCTTCCACCGTTGGTGGAGTTACATTGGTAAGAATGTCTGTATGTGTTGCTTCGATATCCGGTGGATTTAATGGAACTGGTCAATGTTTAAATATGTTAATATTAAACCTCAAACAGCTAAACGTTACAAGAATACCCATTTTTGACAAGTAATTGAAATATCGGTCGTATTAAGCGCAAATTTACAGGCCTATGTCCAACATTATAAATTTTTACGTCAATTGTATTGCTAAATGAGAATAAGGTCAACTGTATCAAAGAACATTTCAATGCAACAAATGAAAAACTACATTTGTCTAGCTGAATCATGCAAAACAAAAAATTCTTTTAGAATTTTGTTAAACAGTTCAGTGTTGATCAGATGATATAGGCCTCTAAAAGCTCTGGTACGGCCGAGTGTGGGGTGAGTCACCCTTTCTCTTAGAAATGCTCTCAAACGGCACGCATATACAGTCACTGTTAGGGAAGTCCTACTCACTACCTTCTCTTGGAGGGGGTATTGTTTACGAAATTGAGGGATGAAAAGCGAATGTCCAACGCTTCAATCGGGTTGGTGAATAATGAGGATTCACCTAGGGGAGTTGGAAAACCCTGATTCCAAACAAATGGTGCACATGGGTTCCAGGATCCTGAAGGAAAAATGGCGTATGAACCAGTTGTTGGTCACCGACTACCATGGGACTGCATCTTGTGACTTTGTTCCACTGCCTTGTTGATTAGACCTTTAAGTCGAAGGCTCGAGGTGTGGCCCCCTAAGAAAACCACCTGCTTCGATTTGGGCACCCAGGTAGTATCACAGCACACACACAAATCAAGTGACTTGTGTGGCACATATGTATCCGGTGCCCCTTTGTACCAATATTTATGTATTCAAATCAATAAAAGTTAAGATTATATAGACATTTGAGAAACCATAAATAGTTTTACTAATATGTGAGTTATAATCACATAATTATTATTTTCAACTGATTATATAGATTATCCACAATAGGGCTTGATTAGAATTTATCAGTGTTAGTTCCGTTGAGCATCCCCATAGAAATAATTTTGCTGTAAGAGTGATCTGATCTCAGTACGTAATTTCCAACTTCTAACACAATAAATCAACGTTAATGATAACTTATTCGTACTAATTTTCAGTAAACACTTTAAGGTCAAAGAACTTTTTTATCAGCACTGACTGAATTATTTTACGTAGGAAAGGAGTTCACAGATACTGATAAATAGTATAATAATTAGTTCATTTAATTCATAGTTAACATAATGCCATATGCTAAAATAGTAGATATTGATTATCTAAGAATACTAATACAAATTCGCCTTGGCGCAGATAATAAAAACTTGGTGATTGTAAGGCTAAAAGTTTTCTTGCTTGAAGAATACATGGGCTACAGAAATACTACGAGACGTATGAGATGAAACTGTTAATCTACTTCACTGAGAATTTGTGTTAAACGCAATGATGGTGGAAACGTCGTTTAAAAATCGGAGAAGGCATATGGAATGAGATTAACAAAATCCTTTGATAAGATTTGCAACGAATTGAAAAAAATAGAATTTAAGTCAAATTGTGTGTGGCCCTTAAAAGGGCCTTCACTCGATCTCTCAATGTTTTCATTTGTCCTGAACAATGGCGTCTCCGTTATTCCGTTATCGCTCCGCAAATGGGTTGATGGAACCGATGGAATTGTGGTTGTGGGTCTCAGACATAAAACGAGGAAAAAATTGCATTGCAGCGACAGAAAATTCTAGTGCTTCCAACAGCAGTTTCACTTAGCGGCTGAGCAAGGTTTCATATGTCACACAGTCTGTTTCAAATTCCACCTCCGTTAACCTGCTCATTCAGGAATTGTTGTTATACCTCAGGGAATCGCACTCATGATTGTGATACACACTCCCACGAACGACAGTCCAATACCCTTCGATAAACTTACAATAGACAAAGGCAGATATTGAGTTTTCATTGTAGTCCTTCATGAACAATACAATAACATTATTCAAATTACCTCCCTCGTCTAATCGGCTGCGAGGAACCGCTAGGTGTTCTACGGCCATTTCTCCAATATACAAATTTAATATACGGCTTCCAATCCTTATGTACATGAGGACCATGCACCGCATAATGACAGTACATTGTCCTTTCATAGGTTCTGATGGGGCTCTTTAACGCTCCAAGTGATTGGAATGCTAGCAGATACAATGTACTCAAGGACACATAATCCGTGTCCGTGACAACGTGAGAAACGATAGAGCTTTTACTTTGTGCGTTATTAACGTCCACAATTTGAAGAAAGTGTGCTCTGTGCGTTAAATGATATTCTATTTCTGTCAATCAAACTTCCACCTTCACGGAAAAATCTGTTCATAATCTGTCATGTGTATGGCATAACAAAACTGAAAGTCAATTTCTCCTTCCTGGATTTAAATTTCATGTTTTATTAAAAAAAATGTCAACAAAATTGATATACAAACGCAATTTGAAATCCTCTGCCAACAAATTAATGACTTGAAACCTATAGAGCAAGACGTAAAAGGTTGGTTTAAATCAAAACCGATAAATTTTGAAAATCAATACTATATTTCTGCAACTCCGCATTCAAAACTTTGATGAAAGAACATATTTCAGCACTGAAGAATTTATAAAAGAATAATAAGGTCATTATAATAAGACTAGATAAAGGTTATTGTGTTGTAAGAAAGTATCATCATCATCATCATCATCATCATCATCATCATCATCATCATCATCATCATCATCATCATCATCATCATCATCATCATCATCATCATCATCATCATCATCATCATCATCATCATCATCATCATCATCATCATCATCATCATCATCATCATCATCATCATCATCATCATCATCATCATCATCATCATCATCATCATCATCATCATCATCATCATCATCATCATCATCATCATCATCATCATCATCATCATCATCATCATCATCATCATCATCATCATCATCATCATCATCATCATCATCATCATCATCATCATCATCATCATCATCATCATCATCATCATCATCATCATCATCATCATCATCATCATCATCATCATCATCATCATCATCATCATCATCATCATCATCATCATCATCATCATCATCATCATCATCATCATCATCATCATCATCATCATCATCATCATCATCATCATCATCATCATCATCATCATCATCATCATCATCATCATCATCATCATCATCATCATCATCATCATCATCATCATCATCATCATCATCATCATCATCATCATCATCATCATCATCATCATCATCATCATCATCATCATCATCATCATCATCATCATCATCATCATCATCATCATCATCATCATCATCATCATCATCATCATCATCAAAATGAAAAATGTCATAATGCAACGGGTATGTGTATTAGTTTGTCAAATATTTATTGTATATACATTAAATACTGAAGTTATTCACTCAATTTTATACTGTTTCATTCGATGGGTTGTATTTATGACATAGTTTACCGTCATCTGGAACCAAATTTATCAATAATGTTTTTCCTATTGTGTATATCTTCAGACATACGCCTATATTATCTAGTTAGTAGGAAATAATTTTTCGCTTCAATCATCTTTATCTTATTTATGATTGAATGAGCATACTAATTAAATTTTTTTAATAAAAGATCTCATTTATTCATTTAAAAGAAATTTAGAATGATATTTGAAGTGTAAAATGTTACTTAGCTTACGTGTATTACAGTAAAATCTTGATGAATTAATACCGCAGACTTAGTAAATGTGAAATTTAAAAAAAGAAAATGAAGAATTTATCATAGACTGTATTTATGATTTCTGGGACATTTTAATGTAATCTGATAAAATGTAGATTTATTATTTTGTATTGTTTGTTTGAATTATCCCATTGATGTTTACGATTACAATTGATCAGTCTTTTATCGGTATATATGCATACTGTGCGTATTGCCTTAAGTTACAAACATTATAAGCAAAGGTGGATGATGGCTAGCAGTGGAATCCAATGGCGTTCGTAAACATCAATGGGAAGATTCAAACAAACAATACAAAGTGAATGTAAATTTCACCTCATTGCGTAAGTTAGTGGTCATCAACACTCAGTAGCTAAGTGAATAACGAGATGACGTTTGAGGCTAATGGTACTGGGTTCGAGTCCCGGGTGAGCATCAACTATGAGATTCAGGCACATCCAGCTGATAAGTCACAAATAGGACAAGACGCGCGTCCTGGATTCCACAGCTGGTTACCATCCATCTTTGCTTATAATTCTTGTGACAAACTGTAGATTACAAGTTATAGAAATGGATAAATTAAGCCAGAAATATAGATAAGAGTTAAAAGCTTTAAAGTTTAATGATGGATTTCAAACAGTAAAGTAGCTCAAAATCAGACTGTTAACGAAAGAAATAAAGCTAATGCACTTCACTGTATTTTCTTATATTCCTATTAGTAAGGAAACTCAATGAAAGAAGAAAATTCTGTAATGGTTTGAAAGTGTGAAATGATTGTTTATCTAGGGATAAATAAAATGATTTAAAATTCTACAAGCTTATACATCAAGGTGGTTAATAGTGGCACTTGATTCATAGAGTTTAGTGTTCTTGCACTTATTGAAAACGTTACCTCACGAGATAGTTTTAATATATAATGCCAGTTTTTGAAGATATTCTTATCTGTGAACTGAGATCAGCCAGTGAATAATAGAAGGCCTAACACAATAGGTCACCTATTTATTACTGGTATTGGGACTAAAATATAATGCGAACAATACAACATGGTATTCAACCAATACCTTCAAAGTTTCCTTGTAAGCACGACATCTTCTATTCACATAATTATTTCTTCTTTTTTTTCAAGTTCTATCAATATGTGATAGATTGAATTTACAGAGAAACTAATTTAATTAACGTTTCTTTATGAATTAAAACTTCACTTCATTTAATGACAAAGCAGATACAATTAATTTTTGTTTAAAAATACTCAAGAACAGTGAAAGGTGGAGAAGAAGAAATATATTTGAGAAAACAACCCAACAATTCATTTGCCTTTTCCACAGCATTTTTCTTCTAATTATTAGATTTTTTCATTTTTTCATTATTCAACACGAAAAATAAGCAAGCACAAGTGCTTTATAATGTCCATTTTAATTCATTTAGAATGATCTATAAGTAAAGATGGATGGTGGTTAGTAGTGAAATTCGTCCTATTTGAAATTCGTCAATTGGATATACTTGCATCCCATAGTTGATGTTCACTCCGGGACTCGAACCCAGTACCATTAGCTTCAAACTTCATCCCTTTGTCCATCTAGCTACTGAGTCCTGATAGCAACCTGCTTGTGCAATGGGGTGAAGTTTAGATTCACTTGGTATTGTTTGCTTGTGCGAACGATACTGAGTTCGATCCTCAAAGTGAACGTCAACTCTGAGATGCAGGTACATCCAGCTGATGGGTCCCCAATAGGACGAAACAGATGTCCTGTATTCCACTGCTCACCACTATCCATCTTTACTTATAGTGCTTATGAATGAAGGCAATATCGAGGCAATCCGCACAGGATGCACATGTGCCAATAAAAGACCGATCAGTTGTATTCCTAAACAACAAGCAAACAATACCAAGTGAATTTAAAATGATCATTTGAAAAATTTACTTAAGCTAATTGACCAGTAAAATGTAATCCATGTTTTTTTTTAAGAAAAAATCAATCTAAAGATTATCTAGAATATACATGTAGATGATTTATGATTGATATTAGTTGTTTTTGTCAGCTGAAGCATTTTTAATTCATTAATTAACTTTCATTAACAAATTAAAGAGATCACAATGCTTAATTTGAGGTTGAGTTTTTGTTTCCTTCAACAACAACAACAACAACAACAATCTATCTATCTATGATCATATATGCTTAACTAATTTTCTAAGAATAATGACATTTTAATTGTTTGCATTGTTTAATTTGTTAGTATTTAGAAAGGAAATTGTGATTGAAATAAAAAATATATTCAACGTTTTACTTGGCATTTTGGGTCAAGCTTCCTTCTTCAAGAGAAATAATTTAGCCAAATATCAACTAGATTCATGTTCATTGATAAAATTAGATAATTTGATTAATGTTATAAATTAAGCTGATCACATCATGCATAAGATTAGTATAGACAAATAAATAAATATGACTAGTGGAGTTCAACCGGGTCTGTTTTGGAGGCAGTTACTCACCAAAGACAATGGTGAACGATCGCGGATTGATGGGAGCTAGACACTAACACCGTTAGAGCCCGGCTCAATTGTCTAGATGTTAAGCGTTCTCGCACGTGACTGGATGTCTTAAGTTCGAATCCCGCATGAAGGATTGTTGAAACGGTCGTTCAGTGCTTCCAGGTTTTCAATGGTGATCTGATATTGATCTATTCATGATATCAATCTAAACTCAACAATCTCCACAACTCTATACTGATAAATAAATGTAAGTTTATGTTGCGTTAAACAAGTTGATTATTAATCATACATCCAGACAAGTTAACTGGTTAAAACAAATGGAAGTATATGTTTTCCTAAAAAATGTGAGACGAATTACCATTGTACAGTTAATCGTAATCCATCTCTTCTATTTATATTGTTTGGGTTAACTCATTAATGTAGGGCTTCAGCTGTTAGCCCAATCTTTCTTTGTACAAACTAAAACTTTTCTGATGAATTTTTGTTCAACTGAATTCCATTGTGTGTCCGAATTTTACTGAGTGTAGTGCTTTCACTGATTTTTTGTTCTAGATTTTTAGGGTTTTCTGAAGGCTTAAGTGTGTTCTTCAATAAAAATTTGTGTTTCTTCACCCTTACATCCAGCTACCGTGAATTTCCACCTACACATATATTGTTACATGCATTATATTTGATACTATACATAGTATTTTATTGTTGTATTCTTGGTACTGTGTCCTTGACTTATACTAGTTTAAAACTGAGAGTATTGTTTGTTCGGAAAAATACTATCATATTATAATTTTTCAGGAATGTTGTGATCTCCCCTGAAGTTCTTTTGGGATATGGTATCACTATCATATTAATCCATTCTTTTAGTTTATCGTTCCTCTTAATTTTTACCCTCTTCCTTTATAAATATCTTCACAGAGTTTTTAGGATGATTATTAGTTATGAAAGCTGACATGACCAAATTGAACTCAATTTCCTTGTCTTTCGATTCAGTGACTAGTTGTTGAACTCTGACTATTAAGTTCTTAGCAAATGACACCTTTGTAGATAGGGCGTTTGTTAACTTGTAGTTCAGATATTCCCGACAATATATTAGTCTCCAGAATATATAAAATTTTAGACAGTTTTAACACTTTATTCCAATCAAAAAGTCAGGAAATGGTAGTTCATGGTCAGCAGATAAAATCTCTTCACTGAACTTGATTTTATCAGATACACTGTTGATAGTTTAAACACGTTTGTCTTATTCATCTCGTTTTGTAATGATATAGATGTCATCTACGTACTTCAGCTAGATTTCAAGTAAACGGGGACATATTAAGATTGAAACTGATTTCCACTGAATGCATAAACAATTTAAAGATAATCTAAGATACCGATGAGCCCATAAATATAATATTTAATTACATAGATAATTAGAGAGTGAAGGTTGAATAGCGTTTCTTCCTTTCAAATGATTTTTACACAGGGTTTAATTTAATTAGTTCTATGATCATTTAAAAAAATCAATAATCCTCTTTAGTCTTCAGGAGGTAATTCCATTGATATAGTTAATGAATTATTCAAGTGTCCAGAAATTTTATTAGACTCCAGTATTTGCATTGTATTTCACTACTATCGTCTATGCAACATACCTTGTTTAACTCTATAAAATGAATGAATTGTAAATAATCTAATGATCTCATATATTATTAAATGTACAAAGAATTTAGCTTCATTTAACCATGTTAATTACTTATTCAAAAAGATTATTATATCATTCTCTTTAATTTTATTAGGTATTAAAAGTTTAGTATAGAAATTTGTCTAATTTTATGAAAGAAGAACTCTTTGATAACTTTTAAGACTTACAGGGAATTATTAAGTAACTTTAAATGTATACCGTATATAATAATGAGAAAATAAACAATTATCTATGCAAGATATTTAATGTCCATTAGTCGGATACCATCAGGAACACTTTACTGTGGGAGAGAATAAACCAGCTTCCAGTTGAAGAGGATATTAGGAAATGACGATGGAAATGGATAGGGCATACATTACGGAAATCATCAAACTACGTCACGAGGTAAGATGTAACTTGGGATTCTGAAAAGAAAATGAATAAAAGAAAGACCAAAGAACACTCTACATCGGCTATTGGAAA